TTGAATAACATTGAAAGATCTGGGAACATAATCTGGAAACTAATAGTTTAAAGCCCTTTTTAAAAAATGCTAAACAGAGAAATCCATTAGCATTCTTGTTTGTTTTAGAGTTTACTGGCTTATGGGCATCATCTTTATTGTTTTACAGGAACATAGTTTTTTTTTTAATTGGTCAGTGGCAGAATACAAATGGAGAACAATTAATCTTAGCTGTTTATTGCTTCTGTGATTCTCTGGAAACAGAAAGAGTAAAATGTCCTATGTGCTTATTACACACAGGCACTATCTCAGCTCATTTCTCCAGCTGTGGAACAGATTGCAAATCTCATTTTAAAATTACCTAATGTATGTTTAAATTGATTAAAATGCTCCTAGCATCATTTTTAAGAAATGAAAATAGTTATGACATTTCTGTGAATAAGTTTAATTCACATAATAATCATTTCTGCCCTTTCCTTTTACCCTCTTTCTATGTATCATTGAAAAACCATAGATGACCATTATAAAGAGCAAGCAAGGGCTGGGGATTTAGCTCAGTGGTTCCACCGCTTGCCTAGCAAGCTCAAGGTCCAGAGTTCAATCCCTGGTACCAAAAAAAAAAAAAAAAACGAGCAAGCAAGACTTGGATGATATGAGAAAGTTACTTTATCTATTTTGTCCATTGCCTCTTCATGATGGTTAATTTCATATGTCAACATGACTGGACTAAGGGATACCCAGATTGCTGGGAAAACATTTTTCTGGGTGGATCTGTGATGGTATTTCTAGAAGATATTGACATTTGACTCCAAAGAGTAAGTTAAGATCACCCCTTGCCAAAGGAAGAAGGCATTACTCAACCCACTGAAGGATTCAATAGAAGAAAAATGCAGAGGGAGGGCAAATTCTCCTCCTTGAGTTGAGACATTTGCCTTCACCTGCCCTCAAACATCACACCTCCTGGCTATCGGGCCTTCAGACTTAAACTGAATTATACCACTGGTGTTCCTGGATCTCCAACTTGTAGTCAGCAGTCCAAGGGACTTTTCAGCACCCATAATTGTGAGAGCCACATCTCATTTATAAATCCCTTTGTATATAGTTATATAGCTCCTATTGAATCTATTTTTCTGGAAAATCTTGACTGAGATGGAGTCTTTCTTTGTCCTTGAACTAAATTCAAGATAGTTGTCATAACTTTTCTGGTCACTGAAGACTCTCCAAGTCACTCCAAGTCCAAAATATCATCACAGTTTTGTTATTAATATATTTGTTATTAATATATCCAGTCTAATGTAGCACTCAAACTGTTCCAACTTCAACTAAAGGTATGGTCTGCTGAACATTGCACCAGGAAAGGTGGACATGGAAAGGTTGCTTTCTCCTGATTGTTAATTTAGGCAACTCCAGTTTTTGATACCAATCTCTCATTCTGAAGATGAGATGAGGGAAGACGAGGCAGTAAGAAAGTTCTCCTTTAAGATAGATGAATGACCTAAGGAAGGATAGTGATCTGCAGGCTTGGTGAATATTTACAGCTGACTTTTTCTCCTGAACCACAGGTAGGATGTTGGTGGTAGGAATGAGAAGTTGGGAAGTGGAGAATCTAGTATACCACTCCTATCACTGAAGATGCATTTTTGCAGATGGCTAATTATGGCTCTGTTTACCCTAGCGGGATCCAGAAGGCCCCCTTACACATCACCTGAGATAACCCCAAGCCAGGTTATGCTTCAGCATGGTCTACCTTTTGTCCCTGGGAATAGCCCTGCATGCTGTGCTCTGTCAAATCATGGGACAACATGCTACATCTTTATTGCTCCACCATCAGAAGAGATACCAGATACTTTCTTCTTCTTTAAACTTCTCAGGCATGAATCACTGATCCTCTCCATGGGGAGATACATATAAAACACTCCAAATAATCTCCATTAAACTCTTTATCTCTAGCCTTGAAGGGTTAAGTACCTAACAGCTATTTCTTCTCATGGTAACCAAGAAAGGATTCAAACCCACCATCAACTCTAAAAAATCATCTCCTAGTCATTATTTTCTTGGCCTTTCCAACCTCTTGTATCAGCTGGAGATGGCCAGTGAGTTAAGTTGTTTTCCAAACAATGCTAAATGGATTTTCCTGTGCTTCCTTTTCCAAAACTATATTCTGTTCTTACCTGACTTTGGAATGCAACCTCTATTGTCATGAGCCACATTTAACACTGAAACAAGGGCCGGGGATTTAGCTCAGTGGTTCCAGCGCCTGCCTTGCAAGTGCAAGGTCCCGAGTTCAGAGTTCAATCCCCGATACCAAAAAAAAAACCAAAAAACACCACTGAAACTAAAAAAGTTCCATTCTAACACCCTGAAACTTGTATAGTCATATTTCTATCAAATGGTTCATTTTTGTCTTTCCAGCTCACAAAATATACACACTTCGATGGTTCAAAAACTACCAGAAGCAATTCCCAAAAGTTAAATATAGGTTGATCCATAATCCAAAAATCCAAAATGCTCCAAAATCTGAAAATTTTTGAGCAGCAACATGATATCTCAAGTGGAAAGTTCCATGCCTGATCTCATATGAAATATTGTAGTAAAAACACAGGTGCACTAAAAATGGTGTATAAAAATACCTTCAGGCTATGTGTCTAAGGTGAATATGAGACATAATCTCATGTTTAGACTTAGTCCCGTTCCTAAGAGAGTGTATATATATATGCAAATATTCCAAAATCTGAAACATTTCTTTCTGGTTCCAAGCATTTCAAATAAGGGACACTTGATTTGTAACTCCAAAAACAAGGTTTGAATGACAACTCTGAAGAAGAGGAATGCCAGTGGGTTAGGAGTAAGATGCAGTGGGAGCCCAGTGAGAAGCACACAAACACAGGGGCTCACGGAGTCAGAGACTCTTACCTCTACACCCTGCAGCATACTGGACTGAAGGCAAGAGCCTGCATTCTCCCACCAGGTTTCTCCTTTTCTATGACTGCACTATGTACAAAATAACCAACCAAACTGAATCCCCAGGAGTTATCTTGGATTCCTCCCTTAACCTGCTGCATCCAACCCGTCTCCAAGTCCTATTAATGCTATTTATACATTTCTCCCACTAGGTTCCTCCTCCCATCCCCTCTGCCTCTGCTTTCTTTAGTGCCCTCATTGATTCTGTCCCATACTTTTTAAGATAGGAGAGTGGAGTATGTTTATATGTTAATAAAGAATCAACAGAGAAGAAGAGCTTGGAAATACTTGAAAGAAAAGACAACTGATGAAGCCAGATTCCAGAAGAATGAGAAATAGAAACTTGAACCCAGAGGAGAAATATAATTCTTAAGGAGGAAAAAAAAAAATCACCGAGACACTATTTTTCTCATAACGTTAGCGTGTTCAACTTTTTAATGTTATTTTACTCCCATGCAGGGGAGGGCCTTGTGCATGCCAGACGGGTGCTCTATCCCCATGCAATACCCCAGCTCTAATGTTAATATTACCTGAAGTAAGGTAATGTGAAACAGTGATGCTTTTATTTTTATTGGCTTTTTGAAACAGGATCTTTCTATGTAGTTCAGGCTAGCCTTGAACTCACTATGTAGCCCAAGCTGGCCTCAAACTTGCAGTGATCCTGCTGCCTCAGCCTCCCAAGTGCTGGGATTATATATGTGCACCACCATGCCTAGCTTATTTTTAATATCTCTAACTGAAAACAATATAAATGATCAACTTTTCAATCTCTAAATTTGTTTTTAATTTGTTATGCCTTCAAATCCAAATCTGATTCCCCAATCTGAGTTACTGACCTCTTTCTGTTCCCTATTAATTCTCTTTCTCCTAATGTATAAACGTATTTTTACTGGCTTTTCACTTTTCCTATCTTCCATGTACTCACTAATCATTCCACTGTTTCATCTTTCTACCTGCACCTCTCTACTCAAATTGCTGTGGCTGAAGTCGCACTAAGCTCCTAATTGCCAAACCCAGTGGTAACTTCTTAGTTCTCATATGACTGCTGTTTTGTTAAATTTCTATACTCCCTGTGATTCCCTGGCTTGACTCTCTTCTGGTCTTTCTCCTATGCTCTGGCCACTCCATCTCAACCTCCCTCTACTGACTTCTCTCCTGGGTCTTCAGAGTTTCATTGCTGAAGGTCTCTTCTGGCTCCACACGCCCACTGGGCCATTCTCCTGCCTTCTTGCTGTCATAAATCTGTATTCCAACAATCTATCCAACTATCTAGGGTAATCTTCATAGCTCTGTCTGGCAAATATTACCTTCCCCAGGAGTTTAAACCCGCTTTTTAGGTGAAGAAAATGAGACTAAGATAACTAACCTGAAAAAGATTCCAGGTAGTGTTGGGAAAGTATTCAACTGACAGATCTTCCAAACCCACAGGTCAAGTTCCCTCAGCTTGAAAGCAATTGTTTTAAGGATAAAATAATTACAAAGGTGTTTGAAAACTGGGTGCCATGGTTTGAATATGATTTGTGTCCCCCAAGATTCCACTGTAACTAATGGCTGGTGAGAGGTCCTTAGGTCATTAGGGGTTCAACCCTTGGGTTCTTTTGAGAAGAAAAGGAAGAAGCCTGGCCCTGGCTGTGCTCTCTCTTTCTGTTTCTGGTTCTATATGTGCTCAGGTGCATGCTCCCACACGTGTTTAAAATGGTATATATCCTTGGCCAATGTGCCAACCTCTTAGAGTCACAAATCTATATAGAGGGGATAATAATTGCTGCTCCTGAGGACTGTAAAGATATTTTATTTATGTGAAATGGTAGGTAACAAATTGTGGTACTAATAAAATCACTTCTTGTTATCCCATATGATCACTCAAGGTCGAATTCAATCTTCCCAGGGACTATATGTCAGGATAAAGGGTTTTGTAACTACTGAGAAAAGAAAAACATTCAACACTACCATCTCAGGAAGTAGATCTTCAAGATGGAAGGTAGTTCTTTAAGACAGACGATCTTGAAAGACACAAGCATCAAGAAGTGAGGCTTCTAGCCAGGCATGGTGTTGCATACCTGCAATCCCAGCAACTGAAGAGGCTGAGTCCGAAAGACTGCAAGTTGGAATGTAGCCTGGGCAACTTAGCAAGAGCCTGTCCCAAAATAAAAAAGGATGGAGATGTAGTCAGCGCTCCTTAGGTTCAATCCCCAATATGGGGGGGGGGGGACTATGAAAGGGTTTTGAGGATTAGAACTTCTAATGATTATTTCCGTTATGTCAGAGTAAATCTCTGGGGAAGAGTGTGAAGGCTAACTATTCTGGAATGATTGGCTCATGTAGTAAGTCCTGGGCCTCACACACCATGAACTCACTCCATCTGTCTTGGGAACCACTTTTCTTCTGTCAGCCAGGTTAAGCAGTCCCCGCCCAGTGTAGCAAAAGCCCTGGAGCCTGGCATGGTGACTCATGCCTGTGATCCTGTAATCCCAGCACTTGGGAGGCAGAGGCAGGAGGATCACTGCCAGATTGAGGCTAGCCTGGGCTGCATAGTGAGTTTAGGGCCAGTCTGAACTACAAAGTGAGACCCTGTGTCAAAAAACCAAAAAAATAAAAAATAAAATAAATAAAGCCCTGGTAACTTTGTAAGGTACCTACATTGCCTTTAATGCTACTTTTAAGTTTCACTGGAAATCTAGTTGAGATTTGCAACCTATTTTGCTCCCATTGTCACATTACCAAACTCATATAAATTCACTCCAACTGAACAAAATCCTCATTTCTACAAGAACTGGAGAGATACAAAATTTAATGTCTATTCTCAAAGTTTGGATTAGTACTTCAATATTCATCTCATCTGTAGAAAGAAATGATTAAAATCTAGATGACTTCTAAAGTGTCTTCCAATTTTAACACTACATGGCTCTATCTCGAAATTGCTGAATCACTGGGAAATTAACATAGTACAGTGAAATAAGGCAATTTGTGATGCAAGCTGACTAACAATACTCTCTGCCTGGGCAAAGGAATTTCTTAGAATACTGAGCTAAAAATGTAACTGCACTCTGCAACTTATGCAAACATGTTCTAATGGATGGGAGGAAAAAATACTCAACCCAAAGTGCCAGCAATTCCTCTGTGAGCAAGCCTGGCAGGGAGAGTGTGGGGTCAGTGAGGCATCAAGTTACAGACTAAATTAAAGGTCTGTAAAAGAGTAGAAGAGAGGCAGGGTCTAATCATCCACTGTCCAAGGCTGCCAGCACTGGATATACCACCCTTACTCACCCACAAAGGACTGTTCTGCGTAGGCCAAGCAGGCAGCAAACTAAGGGCTTCAAATACCTTTTTTTAAAAAGGACTTCTAACTCCAAACAGATCTTTATAGAACTGTTTCCATGAAGCTTAGTTCTGTCATATTAAAATTTCCATGAAAAAGTAATCAAAACCTAATGCTTATAATATTCCAGTGCAGAAAAATATTGTGTTTTTGTTCCTATTAAAAACATGTGTAACATATATATATATATATATATATATATATATATATATATATAATGTAAGCCCCAGATCAAGTGTACACCCATATACACAAAAACCTTAGGAAAATAATAACATTTTTGGCTAAACCAATAAAATTGTACTCTGGCAATTACTACTCTCATTAAGCCAAAGTTCTGCAAAGGTCAGCAAGCAATAAATATGTCTGCTTATTTTGTGGCATGGGTTGCAAATACTAGATCTATAAGGATGAATTAAGGTCACTTTAAAAATTCAAACACAGTAATTCCTAGGCTTGGTTGGGCTGAATCATGTGCATCTGCACTTTTTTTCGTGGGGGAAAGTTAATTTTAGAAAGGAGAAAAAGGTTGCCAGGAAAACAATCACATTGGCACAATAACTAGACAGTGAGTCTTTTCTTAAAAGTTCAAAAGGCTTTAGTCTCCAGCTTGTCCTTAATATTCTTGAAAGCAGGTACTGAATATCACTTCTGTTCCATAGCAGGTATCTCATTTTATAAAAAAAAATACATCCTTTAAACATTTTACCTATGTTACAATTTTTTTTCTTCAAAATTAGTCCTTCACCTCAATTTTCCAAGACAGACAAATAACAATCATTGTTTTCCTTGGCAGCTGCCCTCTGATGGTGAGGTTCTTACAATGTGTCAAGCACGTATATGGACATACACGAAAAGGGAAAAGCAGCAGATGTCCATCTATGACAAACCCCAAGATGGAAAGACATTTAGTATTTATGCAAATACAAGATAATTTACAGGCTCTCTTAACCAATTCAAGGTAGAAGATTTTGGTCTAAATAATTAGAAGCATAAACAAGATCTAAATTAATTTAGATGATCATTCTTCCTCCTGGTCCCTGGAGATAGATAATATCCCATTGGAGTCAGTTGCCTTAAAAGAAGCAACAGGTTTAAAATACCAACGGCTTGCATTCCGTCACTGACAAAAAGCCCGTCAAGGCCAGTAGGGAAGAAATATTTTCTGATTGCCTGGAGAATAGGCCTCAGCCCCTTCTAACCCCCAGCGTGCTGCTGATCGAATTCTTACATTTTAAAAATTGATATTGAAAAGCTAACTCTTTAACCAACTCTCTGAGAAGTATACTGTTTCTCCCCATCCTGTGTCTGAGTTTCAAACGAATGTTAACCCTTACCAAAATTGTCATCTCAGAATTAAGGATGCTGAAACGATTTCAAGTTGAGGGAAACTGGCTTCACTCAGTCGCCCCATTCCTGTTTTCTGTTCACACTTAGCTTTCCAGGTGCTGTCCCACGCAGACCTTACAGATGCTTTCGTGGACTATTGGGAGAGGGGATCGCAATCCCTGGAGGGGCTTAAACTGTAACACTAACTGTAACACTCGAGCGCAGGCTCACACACACGGGCCCACCCCCACGTCTGAATCAGGATCTTAAGGTGAGGCCCGGTTTTTTTATTTTTTGCTTTTTTTTTTTTCTGCCTCCGTCGCCTGAGTAAGAGCTACTGCGCTCTAGGCTGTGATAAAGTTCTAGCACTGTTATTAACCAGAAAACCTTGTCAATTTATGTATTTAACAAGAAAATAAAAAAAGAACCCTAACCTATTGTTTGGTGTAAATACAAAAGGTGGAACGTTTACCACGATGGAATCAATATTTTTCCCAGAGTTAGCATAGTAACGGGGTGGGGGGTCCTGGAGGAAGAGGAGCTACGGTGTTTCAAATTGGATAATATTTCAGACCTGGGGGAAATCAGTGCGCGGGTGTTTGCGCCACACACCTGGAGCGGAAGGAAGACCTCTGCCTCCCGCACCCACCCAACAGCCCAGGGCGCAGGGCTTCTGGAGCTGCCCGGGGAAAAGGGCGAAAGTGAAGGGTGGAACCTGGAGAGGAGGCGGGGGTCCTCTGGCCGCGGGGAAGAAGCGCGGATCGCTCAGGATCTGAGCCCCCTTCGGACCGCCTGCCAGCACCTCAGCCCGGCGCCCATGGGATCCGGGGAAGGAGAAGGTGACAGCGCGGGGGAGGCCGAACGGGTACCTGGCACTGCGGGTCCAGGAGGAGCACGGGCGCAGGCGGCAGCCGATTCTGCTTACCTGGAGTCCGGGTCCAAGTGCGCAGCTGGGAGACCCGGGGTGCGGCCAGGCTCCCTCCCGGGGCGCTCACCCGCTCGGGCTGCGCGTTGCGCGTCTTCAGCAGCAGCGGGTTCGGGCATCAAAGGTGTCCGGACCCCTCCTCCTCCTCCGGCCTCCCCAACCCCTGACGGGCCCCTTCCCTCCTCCGCGGACGCGGCCGAGCCTCCCCCGCCTCTTCCCCGAGAGCGCTGCCCTCGCCGCCGCCTCCTCCTCCTCCCCGGCGCGCGCGCGCCTCCTTCAGAAACGCGCTCTCCGGGAAGGAGGTAGCGCAAGTGGTCCTGGAAACTGGGGCGCTGGACGACTTCTAAAACCCCTTTTAAAATCTTAGATCTGCCCAGTGAGGTCCAAGGCACCCTCTACATTCAGCCCTGCCTCCGCTCTTGTCTGCCACGTCACTGAACGTTTGATGTTCACGTGAAGATCGTGTGGAGGCTCCCCCGCCAGTCATTTAAAATTTTCCAAAACAAACCTTCCATTTTATTGTTCTTAAAATGTAGACATTCCTGCTATTTAAACTTAGGTCGAGTTGGCCCGAGGAAGAATTTGTTCCAGGCTCCTTGGCCAAGCCCTGAGTCGGGAAGGAGCCGTCAGCTACACCCTGGGTTCGATTACCGAGCCGCCTGGAGGCTCTGCTCACCTAGGAGAGACCCAGTTCTGAGGCTCGAGTTCCAGACCGGAGCAGGTGGATGTGTGCAAAGAGCTCTGATGGAGAACCAGCTCGCAAAGGGCAGAGCTCTCTGAATAATATAGAAGCTAAGGAACAATGGGAAGGGACCGGGAAACATCACCTAATCCCCGCTGGGAACATGGAGGTAGAATTGTCAGATGACACTACCTATGCATTCATCCACCTGTTAGTATATTGATGGAGTAGGTAAAGGCAGTGTAACGTTCGTAGTCATAACAAAGGCTGATAGGATTAACTTCTTCCCCAGTGTATTTTTTGTGGGGTTTTTTTGTTTGTTTTCTGGGGTTTTTTGTACCAGAGATCGAACTCAGGACCTTGAGCTTGAGGGGCAGGGAGCAGAACCACTGAGCTAAATCCCCGGCCCCTTCCCCAGTTTTTAACAGAGCCCTGGAAGAGATTCCATATAAATCCTTTATCTTTTCTAAAAGTATCAAATAACTTTCTCATTTGAAGGTTTAAAAACATGGGCATGTATTAATAAAACAGTCAGGTTTCTCTAGTAGGCATAGTAGATACTGAAAGATAAATATTCACCAAAGGGCAAATGAAACTTGGGGCTGGGTCTAGAAGAGCGAACTAGAAAGATAACTTCCTTGTCCTCAGGAAGCTGAAGTGGGGAACAGACAAACAGGGTGTTCGGAGTAGATGCTCTCATGGAAGATGCACCCACGGGGGGCCAGTGTGCATGAGAGTGAGGCCGAGAGTAATTTGGCCTGGAGCAGAAGAGGAGGAGGAGAAAGTTTACCAGCAGGAGGAACAACAGGAAGAGAAAGCCAAAAGTAAAAAAAGAATTTAGCAATTCAGAGAATTTAAAGAAATCCATTACTGCTGTGCGACCACCTCCTGGAGGTAGGAGTGGAGATGACTGGCAAGAATGAAGACACAGGCTAGCGAGGTAAGCGGAGGCCAGATCATGTAACATTTTCTAGGCCATGTTTTAAAACTGCACTTTATTCCACAGACAACAGGGAGGCATTGAGATGTTCTTGGCAAAGTAATGTGAAATCAGAGTTTTATTTGAGAAACACTACTGGCTATAGGCAGAGAACAGAAAAGGATAGGAGGTAGGATAAACGTAAAGAGGATGAATTCAGAAGAGCTCAAAAGGACACTTAAATCAGTGCATATGAGGATATAGCTTCTCGTATCTCTGTGGAATCTAACTGCGCTCCCAGACAAGTTCCCAGAAGCACAACTTTCCTGAAAGGGAGAGATGTGAGGAGGAGGAGGAGGAGGAGGAGGACCAGCGGTGGGAAACAACTGAAAGACAACAGAGATAAACAGAAAGTAGAGATGGAGAGAAAATGGCTTTTTATTTTTTTTAAAAAGAGATCAGAAAGAAATTTTAATATTTGTAAATTATTAGGCAGGAGACTGAAGGCCTAAGAATTTAAGTGACATTTTTACAAGCTGTCTACATGGGTTTTTGTCCCACACTAACAATTACTTCTTCAACTCTCCAAACTCCAATTGAGTATCTGTTAGTTACTTTTCTCTCATTCTTGAGACAAAATACCTGACATCCAAATTCAGAGGGGAAAGGGTTTATCTGGCTTCAGTTCTAGAGGTTTCAGTCCATAATCAGCTGGCAAACAAGCATCAAAGAGGAGAACAACAGAGCATGCATTAGGCAGCAAAGGGAACAAGGGGAACCTAACAGCATCTTCTGACCTTTTATCTAATTCAGGCTACTTAGGGCGGGTAGCACTCACACTCTTAATCCTAGTGCCCTTGAATCAGTTCCAGCTTCACACACTCTAGATCAAGCCTATGACCACGTGAGGCTTTGGGGGGACATTCAGACCCATAACATTCCACCCCTGCCCCACCCCAGAGACTCATATACATTCCTTTACACAGAAGGCCTTTAGTCCATCTCTAAGAGTTGCTGGAGTCCTAACAGTTTCAGCATTGCTGAAAAGCCCAAGTCCAAAGTCTCCTCTGAGGGGCTGGGGATTTAGCTCAGTGGAGCCCGGCCTTCTTGCACACAAAAGGTCCTAAATTCGATCAGTTTGCAGAGGTTTCAGTCCGTAACCGGCTGACTCCAAGGCAGAGATGACAAACAGGCATGGCAGAGCAGAAACAACATGGCATGCACCAGGCAGCAAAGGCAACAAGGGGTGAAAATGGCTTTTTAAAATGAAATATTTTATATATATAGTGACTCTACCTTACACAGCTTAAGGATAAGAGAATGTTGATTTGTAACTGAGCAGTAAGATAAAGGGAAATATGAGACACAGGAACCGTGTTGACATATACAGTTGCTCCTCAGTGTCCATAAGGTCATTGGTCCTCTGACCCCTAGACACCAAAATCTGTGGATGCTGAAGTTCTTTATGTAAACTGGTGTAGTATATATGCAAATAACCCACATGCAACCCCCCCATACTTTAAATAATTCCTAGATGATTTATAATACCTGATATAAAATAAATGCTATGTAAATAGTTGTTATACTGCATTATTTAGTGAATAATGACAGGAAAACAGTCTGTACATGTTCAGGACAGACACAACCATCATAGATTTAAGGACATTTTTGATCCAGGGTTGGTAGAAGAGTTGAATGCAGAATCCGTAGATGTCGAGGGCTGACTATGTGCATGTGTATATTGTGTTAGTTACTTTTCTCTTGTTGCTGAGACAAAATCCCAGGCACCAAAAGTTAAAGTGGGAAAGGTTTATTTGGCTTACAGTTCGTGGAGATTTTAGTCCATAATCAGCTGGCTCCAAGGCAGGGTGGCAAGGGGTTACATTCATGGGAACAGAAGACAGCAACAGCAACAAGGGACCCTAACAACGTCTTTCTGCCCCTTTTATCTTATTCAGACTACTTAGGGCAGGTAGCACTCAGGCCTTTAATCCTAGTGCCCTCAGGCCTAGTCCCACCATGAATCAATCACACACTCTGGATTCAGCCACCTCTGAAAAAGCAAGAGGCTTTGGGGGACATCTAAACACAACCCATCATATATATACAGGAAAAGGTGTTTATTATCAAGTATTAGTTCATGTGATTATGGAGCCTGAGAAGTCCTACCATCTGCTATCAACAAGTTGAAGACCCAAGAAAGCTGGGTGTAATTCAGTTACTTTAGTTCCACAATGCTGGTATAGATTTTGAGTTTCAAGGCCTGAGAACCAGGAACAATGAAGGTTGGAGAAGATCAGTGTCTCAGCTCACACAGTCATAGAGAGTGAATTTAGCCTTCCTCTCCCTCTTTATTCTGTTTGGTCCCTGATGATTGGATGGTGTCTACCCACATTAGGGAGGGCTATCTGCTTTACCCAGTCCTCTAACTGAAATACTAACCTCTTCTGGAAACACCCTCAAGAACTCTCCTAGAAATCAATTTCAACCAGATATGTAGATATCCTGTGGTCCAGTCAAGTCCATACATAAAATTAACCATCACATTGTCTTAGCTTGATTCTCTTTCATCTTCATTGTTTTCTCTGTCCCTGTAACTTCATTCTTTTTTTCTTCTTCTGTCCCTGTCAGCTCTTTATTGCTAGGATAAAATATTTGACATAATTAACTTAAAGAAAGATTTATCTTGGTTGTGGCAGAGATTTCAGTCCAAGCAGAAACATCATGGCAGAAGGGCATGGTGGAGGAAAGCTGCTCACCTCATGGAAGCCAGGAAGCAGAGAGAAAATGAAACAACTTGAGAAAAGTTACACTCTTCAAAATGCCCTTTTCCTCCAAAGACCCACACCCTCTAACAGTGCATTTGCCGTGAGCTCATCCATCAATAGGTTAGTCTATTGATAAAGTTATCACTCACAATCCAATCGCTTCTCTATACATCTCTTAATACAATCAAGTTAATTAACTATCAAGATTAACTATCACGGGTTTCTCCAGTTAAAATGGCAGAAATCTCATCCCTATAGTTTCTAACTTTATATTTTGCGGATCTAATTACCAAATGGAATCAAAATTTCTCTCCTCAATTTCAAATTCTCAAGGAAAGGAGAAACTGGACTGACTGAAGTCAGACATGATTTTTTAAAAATGCCTATAAAAATTCTTCACCTACTGTACAGTTCAAGGATATTGGATGCGGAATGAGGACTAAAGGTGCTATGCTTTGAATAAGCATCCTCCAAAAGTCCTAACTGCTAGCTCACCAAACTGTGGATCCAATGAGGGGAAGGAGTAGAACCTTCAGGAAGGTCTGATGGAAGGAAGTTAGGTCATTGACGATGTGCTCTTAAAGGGGATATTGGGAACCCAGGCCCTTCTTCTCTCTGCTTCTATGAGGTGAGCAGCTTCCTCTGCCACGTGTTCCCCCCATGATATGCTGCCCCACCACAGACCTAAAAACAACACTCCAACTGCCCCTGGACTGAAATTTCCAAAACTGTGAGCCAAAATAAATCTCTTTTCTTTTAAAATTAATTTATT